ATTTATGCTCAAAATAATTATACAGTATATGCACATCTAAATACATTTTCTCTCCGAAAGAATAAATGTGAGTTAGATTTTAAGAAACATTTAGATAAACTTCTACTAGAGGAGGCGCTGATAAGATAGATTTCGAATTAATTTTGTTTCTCAGGAGAGCATTCCATTGTGCACTCATTCGTTATCCCCTGAGTGCACAAAAAAAATTAATTATGAGATTGTAATTTTTAAAAATTCAGTGAACACGTTGACCCTCGATAAAGTTTGCACGATCAAATTTGGGTGCATATTTAAAAGATAATTAACTCAAACGGTGACATACTACTTGTATTTATGACAACATGAGTGGTCTCCACGAGGGAGTTCCATATTAGTTGCACTCACACTTCTTCTTCTTTGTATTATTATTATTATTATTATTATTATTATTATTATTTCTTCATTTGCTTTCTGTTCAGTTCGATTCTTCGCTGGGTCATTAGCCGAAACCTAGGGTAAGACAAGGTAGTAAATAAATGCATTCTATTTGCATAAATTTTGATGTTAAGTTATACTTAACATGTATATTGTTTATATTTTCATTATATGGATAATACTCCCCTGAATAGCGGGACCACAGTACTTTTTAATCTCTTGTAAAAAGGGATTACAAGGGATCTTGTTAATGTGCTTGCCTGAACCTTTGTTAACCATACACAGAGTTGAAATTTTTATAGATGTAACAGTAGTTTTAAGATGCCACATTTTTTTCATTTTCAAGATCCGTATATTTACTTATTTTCTCATATTCTTTAACAGCTATTTTCATCTAATGGTACCATCATATCCACGAGAATAGTTTGTAATCACGATGTCTGGATTTCTATGTCAGTCAGGATGAATGGTAACTTCTATGACCTATTCAGCGTGATGTTCATGTTATTATTACTATTATAATATGTATGTTATGTTATGTTTCCTTCTTTGTATCCAAACTATGGTCCTTAAACCCTGTCATTTAATTGATAGCATTTTTATTAGTATATGGGATTTTCCTAGTGGAGCGATCTTCTGGGCTGCTTGTATGTTGATGTTACCTAGGATACTGTAAATAAAATTGTCCATTCCTTTTCTCATGGGGCCAAGAGTTCCGATTAATATTGGTACAGTCTCAGTCTTCATTTCCCACATCCTGTTAATCTCGATCTCCAGCTCCTTGTATTTGGACAATTTCTCCATAATTTTTATTGAGGTGTTTCTCTCAGATGGTACTATTATTATTATTATTATTCATTCCATATAAAAACAAAGAAGGTATATTTTTTAAGACAGTTTAGTTCTTTAGAAACACTTAAAAGCAAACTAAAATTATCCAATGAAATTTTATTAGTAATGACGCGAAACTAAACTATTTTATTTAAGTACAATGGAGGATGCTTATCATTCATGTTCTTATATTGCATTTTGTATTCTAATTGTTTTATCGTTTCCTTTACTGACATCAACTTTTTCTTAGACATCATTTTGATAATACTATAACGACCTTTCTCAAGCCTTTAAGCAAATTAATTAATTTTCCCTCAAAATGAACATCCTGACAGCAGCTTAATGACAAGTGTCAATCTTGCAAGTCATTGTTAGTGAGTTCGTTACTGTAGTACTCCATAAATTCAGCTTTTGTTAACACATATCTACAGTAAATATAAATATGGCACTTATAAAAATTCATGGGGGAGTAACGATTGAGGAATCGGAGAGTCGAGTTCGAATTCCAGTCGAATCCATTACATACTAATACCATTGGGAAAGATATGAATCTTCTTCTTCTCCCCCAGCTATGGCCAAATAGCAGGATAGGCCATGTTTTATAGTCTTGGATGGCAACTAGTTTACTGCAGAAAGAAATGGCAACCAACTGCGGGAAAAAATCTGCCTCGTCAGTCATGTATCGAAAGACAGATGAATCGCCTAAATGTGTATCGCACATAGCGCGTAACTGACTATGTTTTTATGCTTCAGCTGATTAAAAATCATGTTCGTCTGTCTGAACGGGAAAATGTCAGACATATTTCCGTTCAGATTTTTCCAAGATTGATAAGGTTGTTGCCATCATCATCATCATCGCTAAATAAGTTTTAAAATGTTAATTTTCGTTGTTCCTATAAAAACAAGTTTGACGAAAACCAAGAGACTTCCTCAATAAGATACAATAGTTAAAAAGTGGTCGAAAATGTTTCACGTTAACTTTAAAATGTACTTTATCTTTTTCCTTCGCCTTCTTCTTCATTATTATTATTATTATTATTATTATTATTATTATTTGTGTATGTTATGTTTCCTGCATTTTATCCTCTAGAGCCGGGTCCAAATGATGGTCCTTAGACCCTATAGGAGAATTGTCGTAACACGTTTTTAGTAAATGGGATATTCCTAGTAGGGCGATTTTCTGGGCAACTTGTATGTTGATGTTACCTGTTAGTAAACTTTAGTAATAGTGTTCATTCCTTTTATCACGAGGTCGAGAGTTTCGATTACTATTGGTACAGTCTCAGTCTTTATTCCCCACATCCTGTTAATCACGATCTCTGTACAATTTCTCGATAATTTTCATGGAGGTGTTTCTCTCAAATGGTACAGCTATGTCAATAAGCATACATTTCCTGAAATTTCTTGTCTTTTATGATAATATAAAGTCTATTAGCTTTTATTTCCCTATCAGTTTGAATTGCCATGTCCCAGAGGATAGTTACACCGTTATTTTGGGTAACTGTATCTATTATTATTGCTGTTGTTTTAATTTTAAGAGGTGATTTTTTGTACTGATAAATCTCATATTTTCCTTAAGCAAACTATACGACTTTTCGTTTATATATACGAGATTATTATCAGAATAATAATCATTTTCTTTCTTTCATTTACAATAATAATAGTTTCTCTGACGGTCCCTCTCTTCTTCATGCAGAAGCGATGATGGTATAGGATAGGCAATTTATTAATATTATTATTAGCATTATAAACTTATCTTTCACTTATTCCCATTATAATTATTATTATAGAAGGCACCTGAAGAAACTTTTACACTACTTGATCTGCACACAAATTAAAATAGAATGAAAAATTATATATGTATATGCAATAGGTGGCAAAGAAACAATTCCCTCTCTGGATAATAATTTACAAGCATTAAGGAAACGTCTTTTCAATTACAAATATAAAAAAGGAATAAAAACAAGTTGTAAGGCCATTGTATTATTCTCATGCTTGACTGCATTTTTCGTGATGCATAGCTTGCAAGGTCAATGTGTAATCATTTAAAATGTTTTTGAAAACAGTTTATTCTTAAAAGCCGTATTTTATTTAAATGACCGGATACCGGACAAACTGAAAGTCAAGATTAAAACTGACCAAAACATACAGCCTGGCTGTGTCTGCACACGTTAGATCATCTATAAGTATTACTCTTTGTAATGCTAGGTGTATGCATGTAGATGTAGTGTATTATGCACACACACACACACACACACACATATATAATAATCAAAAATAAAACTTTAGATTCATTTCGGTTATAATTTATTTCGCGAATATCTATATATTCATCTCTTCAGACCGAAATCTTTGAATAAATGGAGACCATTATACATGAATCTTCATTTAGAATAAATCTTTAAGATTTATTAAAAGTTTTCGGTCTGAAGAGATGAATATATATAAATATTCACGAAATAAATTATAACCGAAATGAATCTTTAAGGTTTTCTTCTTGATTTATTATTATTATAATGCTCTATAGTTTACATTTAACTCTCTCTGGATTAATATCTTTCTTGGAATTATCCCTACCAGTCCGAAATTGGTAATATATATATATATATATATATATATATATATATATATATGTGTGTGTGTGTGTGTGTGTGTGTGTGTGTGTGTGTTAACATGTATCGATCCGTACTGATAGGCATCTGTGATTAAACAATTTCATGTATGTATATTTATGATGTCCTTTAATGACTGTTAGCTTCCAACGATATATTTATATATGATATATTATGCAACCATATGAAAAGATACATTTTGTAAGTATCTATACATGTAAACTTTGCATATATATATATATATATATATATATATATATATATATATATATATATATATATATATATTTATGGGGAATGCATGCTTTTTGAACATATGCGCAATATATACATTATATATTGTATAATATTAAATAACAGCTAAACTAGTAGATGTTAATATATTCAAGATTATGCGTGTATTATTATATGTACATGTGTTTTTATATGTTTTCTAAACATTATCCGCAAATGACAATACATATAGGCATATATAAAGTTATGTCTGTTTTGCGTGTGTGTATACCTATACGCTCTCAAATGTTTACTTTCATATATGTCAAACTACACACAGTTACACAGTACGCACACACACTCACACACAGATATATATGCATGTATGTGTGTACATATATAAAACATATATCCATAGCATATACGCACATATATTTAATCATATCGTTTGCATATATATTATGTGTTTGTGTTATTGTTGTATTAAACTTATACAACACACATATAATATATATATATATATATATATATATATGTATCATGAATATTCTCATTTTATTAAATCATATATATTATTTGTTATATAGATGTGTGTGTGTGTGTGTGTGTGTGTGTGAGTGCGTGTGTGCATGTATGCTATATATTACAATCTCAATTCTTTTTTTATTTTTTTCGTAAACATGAAATAAATGAGGAAAATATAATCCGGTTTTCTCAATTTTAATATTTGTATTATTTTTGTGACTATCTTCTGCATAGAATTATATTTACGCATATAATTGTTTTTTATGCAATATATAATTGTAAGCGACATTTATTTAATGTTTGTATTTTTCATACTTTGTCTTTTTCAAGGCCTTATTTGTTTATGTAGAAATCCTTTAAACTTTCTCATTCCCTTCATTGATCCTGCCTTCTTTTTTGTTTCTATTACAAATGAAATGCAACCTTCGGAAATATAAACATAATCGAAGCAATGATACAGAAGAGATAGAGAAAAAAGAAGATCCGATCCAAAACAAGAGCGACATGTTTCCACTCTCGCGCAATTAACTCCCCTGCCTCTTTCTGCGACACTTTATCAGTCATTTCCTGTAGGTGGCGTCTGATTTCCTTGACGTCACCTTCCAATGAATTTATTGCTAGCCAGGGACCGCCCTGGATTGGTGACGGTTCCACTTCACTAGCCGTATTCATGGTCTCTGCAGTCAACGATGTAGTGCCATTGACAACTGGTGCTATCGGTGATGGAACAGTCGAGTTTCGATTCCGAAGCCAATTTTCGTCTGCTTGCATTTCAAATGTCCCGACTTTGTCGTACTTAAAGTCCTGAGCCTTTTTGCGGTCTTTTGACGATTTGCTGTTTCGTAGTTTTTGGTTCTTGATAGCCAACAGTTCTTCTTTGGTCAACAATTGTGTCTGCATACAGAGCATACGGCCAAAGAAATCAACCATTAACTAAAAAACAAACAAACAAAAAAAAAAAAACATGGCGGAATTAGTGATAAATATTCATTAAATAATATTATTTTGTAATAATTTTATTTCTTCAATTCATAGTTATTCATTAATTTGTTATTTTCATGTCAATATTTTACTTTCTTCCACCCATTCTTTCTTTCTTTCTTTCTTTCTTTCTTTCTTTCTTTCTTTCTTTTATCCATTCTTTCTCCCTTTCATCCATTATTGTTTTCTTCCTCATTCTTTTTTCTTTCTCAAATTTTTTACTCTATTTTCCCATCCCAATTTTCTTTCTTTTTTCCTTTCTTTCACTTTTTTTTTATCAATCAGGAATCAAGGTGTAAAACTCTACTCCTGTTCAAAAATTCTTTATTTCTCTCCATCAGAAAACTTGTAAATTGGTAACAAACTGCCACCGAAAGACGGACAAGAATTTAAATAGACAGTAACAAAGACTGACTAACATATTTATTGGAGAATAATGGTAGGGAATTGATTGACAAGAAGGAATTTAGATGGAAAGCTTAATGAAGGAATGGGAATATAAATTAACTGGCTTGAATCTTTGTTAATGTGTTTACATAAATATTGGAGCGATTCAAATATATATTGATCGATTAACACATAAATAAGAATAGATGTCACGATGTGACGAAGAAATCATTGAGTCTCATAGTTTTGTCGAGCTGATTAGTATTAGTATTGGCATCAATATATCCATATCCCACATGCGAGATAAGTAAATCTTTACACGCATATAAACACACGAGGGAAAGATGAAAATGTCTTAGGCTCTATCATCAAACTCTTCTAAAAAATTCAAATGTTTGGTCATTTACTCAGATTTTGGGCCGATAACATTTCAACATCTTATCGTACAGGATCAGTATACTCGCTGTGGTAGGTAGGCAGATAGGTATGGAGGGTGGTGATTATATATGACTATGCAGTACTGTACGAAAGTCTTTGGTAACTTAAAACTATTGTAAATTCCTAATAATTGCTAGGTTATAAATGGATCTTAACATTTTCTACAGATCAATGAAAGGTCCTATTGGAGTCATTTTCATACCTAATTATCATATTCTGTAGCAATGGTTCTGAATAATAGAGAAAGATGCGAGCCGACTCCTAGAAATGGCCACGCAAGTCTTCGGCTACCTCACAAAAAGACAAAAATATTTACAATGAAAATGCATTATATAATATTCATTTAAAGAAGTTTTTCTATATTATTAATTGTTTTATGTGGCTTATTTAGATTGAATAATTGCCTCAATGTGTCTTGAGAGAGATACGTACAAATTCTTTATAATCATCACAGATATATGATTCCATTCTCTGTGACTGTGCTCTTACAACTAGGTTTTTAATATCTTCGGGATCAACAGTTAGGGATTTGAGTGGATTCCTGAGAAATTTAGTGGGTCCAAACTAAGGTTTCTTAATAAAGTGTTAGAGCTCCAGACTAAGATTTTTATTCTCATCATCCCGAAAAACAATTTTAATCGTCCTGGATCACTTAAATTAACAGAAAGTTTTTTGCTAAATTAAATTAATAAATTTAAAACAAAAACAGCATTTACAGTTTAATTAGAAAATTATACTTTTTGGAGAATTATGACAGAACAAAGACTTTTTCAATTTGATAGAACAAAATGTTATTAATTTTGACAGAACAAAATTTTTTTTAATTAAATTAATAATAATAATTAATAAATTGGATATGTTTCTTATAAAAATCAAATGGGATTAATGAACTTTCCTTAAAAAATGAAGTAATCTTCCTTGAATTAGCTTAAATATTAATTAATCAGTGATGCTCCTAAAATTAAAAAAATGTTTTTTCTATAACGACATAAACCTCACCAAAATAAATTATCAATTAAAACAGAGGTGAGTTTATTTCATGTAAACAAAATATTGAAAAATTCGAATAAAAACAAAATGGTGACTGTAGTGCCTAAGTAAATCCAAAATAAATGAATAAGAGCGATGACTAAATCAATCTACAGACTGTCACCGAGATCTTTTAGTCTGAAAATAATCAACGAAATGTGATTTTAATTGATGAGAAAATCAGTCCAGTCAAACACTATAAAACATTTAACACAACGATGAAACTAAAATCAATAGAAAATATGTTGAGAAAGATCAAATGATGCAAGTATTTTTGTGATGTATTATGAGCAGATTAATGTGAATAAATTCAATAGTATTTGTCAATGATTACTTGTACTTCATAGTGTATAGTTTTCTCTGTTTGACCTCTTTTCATCTGGCCATTGTCTCTTCAAAAAGGTACTCAGAGCTTTTGAATTTTTAAGCTCGCCTTGATGTCCCGATGACAGCCTGTTTCGATGAGGATAAAATTCTGGACAAAGAACATTCGTTCATAGTCAGCTGTATGCATAGTTAAAGTGGTGGTCAGTTGATCAAGATAGGTGAGGTTAGGAATGGCGAGGTTAGGAATGGTGAGGTTGAAGAAATCGTTTAGGTGATATTTTGTCGCTAATGCTCAAAGCTGAATCTGAGGTAGTGACAACTTTCTTCAGTAGGTTCATTGATGAAGGGCTTGTTTGTCATCCTCTCAATTATCAATCCATTAGTGGGTTTTCTTATGTCCATATTGGAAATTAGAATTGCCAACTCCCCCGCCCCCTCTCCATAGACCTTCAGCTCTTCCTCACTTATGAAGGGAGGGAGTGGAGGGAGGACTTAACACAGCAAATGCACACCACAGAGAAGTGTTTGGAAACCTGGAATGTGTGTTATTTATCAAATATTTTCTATTTACTTCATTTCATCCCAAGAAAGTTCACTTTTTTTGGAAGTAGATGTAGAAATTATTCAGATTACAGCTTTTTTTAATTTGACTGATCAGGCCAAATTGTAAAAGAGGAGGTAGATTTTGATACAGAATGTGCAGTATTACTCTCGAGAGGGAGAAAAAGCAGAAAATGCAGCTGCAATAGTCTACTGGCCAGCAATAAGTTTCATTTTTTTTCTTCGGTAGCATTCTTATAACTTTTCCTCTCACTGTTCACTCAGGAAAAACGAGATCTCATCTGCAGCACGATGTACGTTAGACCCAATTTGAGCATCACAAAATCGCGGTTATTATTCAAACAAAATTCTCCAGAGCTAAATATAAAATATGTATTTTTGGATGAAAGAAAATCCATTTTTTTCTAATGTCAAGAAAACAAAAGGGGAACGAAACGGAAAGTGAAAAAACAAACAAAAAAAAAACCTCTTTCTTTCATTTTTCTGTTTAACCTACTTTTTTATCTCCTATTTTTTTTTTCTGGTTAGAAGCACTTGGACCGAAATTGACAAGTTGCGGTGAAGATCACAAAGAAAGAGGAAATAAGAGCGGGTATAAAGCTTTGTTGCCCGGGAGAAAAAAGAAAAGACCTTTATTTAAGACAAAGTTTGGTTTTACTGAAATTTTCTTACTATCGTGACTAAATATGTTCTGATATGCATCAACGCATCTCTGTAAGGCGCTTGGGGGTTAACGTCCGTCTGGAATGCGTTTTAGATTGTTTAAAGTAATATATTCCTTGGTAAAGTTTTGTCTGTTTCATCCCCCAACGGAAAGACAATTACATTAATTTAAACTCGCTGTTTCTGTGGAAATTCCACGGAGTTATTATAACACTGATATTTAGATTAAATTATTTACTCGATGGTAAGATTGACGTCAGAAATAAATTACTTACGCATACTTCTTTTTAATTTTGATTACTCACGTGAAAATGCTTTTTGACAGAGAGTTGTTAAACATAAGCTGGAGGGGAGGAGAGTAGGGTCTGAAAGATAGATTTACTTATCCAAAAATATTTACAACGACGGCTTACACTTCTACATAGCCACTTTCGATATATATTCAATGAAAATACACTCATTTTATGCTATAGAAGTAAATATTCTAATAAAATTTAAGTTACCCGTGAACTGGAATGTACATATAAATTATTTTTTCAATATTATAGTTTAGTCAATTTCAAGGAAAACATTCATAACTGTAATAGTGCATGTTAAGTTGTCCTAACGTCAATTTCAGTTTTTATCAGAACTGGAATTGATATGGCTTAATTAAACTTTAATTAAAGTAAGTAGCAGGGCAAATTACTCAGAAAATGTTAAAGACATTTAGACAGAGGATATTAAGTATATTTCAAACATAGAATCTGTAGCACGGGGTTGCGTCACATTGAAAAACATCGCCTGTATTTAAATTAGCGTCAATTTTAACCAATTTTTTTAAGGATCCCTAAGTCATCAGATTTTTACCCCAATCTTTATCGGGAAACGTAGGTAGTTTCGCTTTCCCGAAGGAACAAATACCCGATTATTAGAATGCAGTTCCATTTTACTTTTAATCCAAGCATCTTCATTCCATAGTTCATATTTCTTTGACATTCATAATCTTGCCTTCAAATTGATTTTGTCTAATACTAGCTTCTTAGCTAAAATGCATTCTTTCTGTTCATGTTCTCAAAGGATGCATTCATGGTATCTACTGATACCAAAATTGGACACGTCTATCACTTCTCTTCTTTCACTGATCGTTTGCTATACTGAAGCCTATCCTTACCATCCAATACTGTAGATTTCAAGAGCGATCATGTCTTGCTTGATTTTAAATACTCCTAGTGCCTTGAAATAACGAGAGAATTTCTGAAATTCCGTTACTTGAAATTTCGAGTTCATTAGTACTTTCTCGATGCTTCATGTTCTTGTCCACTTTCGCTAACCTCATTCTGATTTCTTCAGAAATTTTCGCCATGATTTCAAGTAATAAGAAAAAAAAGGCAGTAATTTGATATAAGAATTAATAGGAATTGTAGGAAAAATCGCTGCTGTTGCGAAAAAGATATTTGCTTTAAAACACTGTATCATGCTTGGTTTACGTGAAAAGGCCAACGACTTTAGCACGTTCATTTTTGGAGGGTTGGGTCGGCTAGAATCTTTCTAACTCGGTTTAGAAC